CACAATCTGAACGAGAGAGAAAGAGAAAACGAAACAGATAGCCAGTCTACTAGACAGTAGAGCTGGAAGGATATTGATTAAATTAGAGAAATTGTGCGTTCAAGTTCACACCTTTTCAACAACCGTACGCAAAGGGTGCCGGGCCAAGGTTCGAATTTTCAATCCCTCGTGGTGCTGTAGCTAGCTAGCTAGTGGATCGACCTCTAATGCAAGTTGTTTGTTGGGGAAAAGAACGATACCGTAGCTGCCGTCGGATATACGTTCGAAGGCAGAGTTTACCAGGGTATGTCTCATTGTGCAGGTTGGTCTCGCTTGTACCGTATCATCCAAACAAAATCTTGTGCAAAACAAGCAGCACTCTGGTTGTTATTTAAGGTTACAACTTGACTGCCCCCCGATTCGCGTCGTATCGACCGGGAGCAGCCGCACCCAGCTCCTTGTGTTCTTTGGCCATTTCCCGCAGCTGTTCCATGTTCACGCCTACAATGCGGCTCGCCCGCAGCTCATCCTCTGTAAAGCTATCGGAATCGGAATTGTTGGGTGGCAGAGCCGGGCATTTGTGCATGTCCACCTTGGCCATTCGAAACATGCCGATACACGCCTCGGGTTCATCCGTTGTATCAATTTCTGGGTCATCTTGAAAATCTTGTCGTAGTTGAATGACTAGGCCGACATCGACAATGACATGCGCCGTGTGTTTGACACATAGATTAACAATGGATCGGACCCACTTGTCGCTCATACAATCGACTTCGACTTCCAGTAGTGGATGCAGCTGTTTGCCCGTTGCGGGGTCGACCGATGCTTCGTGTTTGCGCCAACTGCAGGGAACGTACATACAATGGATAATGACTTCTTTTTTGGCCGGTGCAATGACGCGAATGGCAAAGGGTGCTTCCGCCACAGAAGGCAGTACTTTGAGTCGATCATTCCGGTATTCGTCATCGCCATTGATGAAACGTTTGACAGCCTTGACTTCATCGTCATCGTCCTCTTCTTCGACCAAATCATGCAGTTGTGTGACGTAACTGGGAAGTTGCAGATAGAGAATATGATTGCCAAATCCGGTAATCATATTGACCATGAGAGTGGGTGTGTCACGAAGCCCGTGTTCCAGGAGATACGGATGCTCGCCGAGATTGGTTTGCCCCTCTCCCACTTCTTCGTCGGCGATAAAGACATCGAGTCCACGCAGTTTCATGGCCGGAACAATGACATCTTCCAGAGTAGCCACTTCTTCTTCCTTGACGTCGAATCGTCCAATTTGGTGTCGTTGGGCATCCTCCTCAGATGTGGTTGGACGTTCGCTTGGAGGTGTGCTGTCGGATGCAAACCGTTGTCCACCCTGACGATTGAGTGTATCCGGCCGTTGTTCCTTTGGTTGCTGTTGTTTCCTATAGCTTTTGCTCATGTGATGTATTTGGTTCATCAGGGCGCGGCTGGTGGTACCAGTTACTTTCGTAAGTTGTGGCCTTTGCCATTCGGGAAGATTGAGTTGCGAGGAATTGGAAAGTGCCGTCCAAGGAGCGACTGTCATACCCTGGTGGATCAACTCTTTGACATTGTCGGTGATTTTGGCAGGAAGCTTGGTGGCATACTTTGTCGCGCTTCTAAGCTTGTTCTTTTTTGTCGTACGTGGCTGATTGTCATAATGGTCTTCTACTACTACGTCGACATCTGCTGATCTCTCGGAAACAAGCATGGGCTCTTCTTCGGCCTCAGCTTCGGCATTGGCTTCCTCATGTGGTGGTGCAGACTCTGCAGGGGCGACAGAGGTACTGGCTGCTTGTCTATCCTTGGATGCCCGGCCAACCAATACACCCGCCATTAGCCCCAGAACCATCCCATACAGTAGTATGGGTATGGAGACAGTGGTGGACACGGATATCCCATTGTCATCCTTAGCTATCATCATGGCCAACAGAGGGACTGTGGCAACAGAGGTTAACCCTATCCCTATCAAGTCAGAATTACCCCCACCCAAAGGGGCTTTTTCTTCTTTTGGCGTTGTGGTTGTTTCGGGCGGCGACAAAAGTACTTCTCGACTCGTCGTTGCAATTTTGACAGTTGCAGTACTGCTATTGACACTACTGCCCTCCATGACATCGCCAGAGATGGCGCTTTCGGCCGAGATGGCGCTTTCGGCCTCGGATTCTTGTCGATCTTTGGGTCCAAACTGGGGCCCTTCATGAGGATGAAGCCGTTCTTTGGCTCGATGAGTCGCCTCCTTGGCGCGATCTTTGGCACGATGCGTCACTTCCTTGATGCGCTTGCGGACACCCAGCCCGGTAATCGAATCGCTCGTGGTCATGGTGCTCTGTGTGGATTGTGTTTTTATGACAAATGCGTGCTTTCTTCTCTTCCAAGAATATTCGGTTGCAGTGTTGCAGTGTGGCAGTCCCGCTTGGCAGGATGCTGGATTCGATCCGTTCGATCCAAAGATCCATCCCAAAAATCTTGACGTCATACTTTTGGAAGAGCTCTGACGATTCGATTCGATACGGTAGTGCTAACGGTACAGAATTAAAGTGTGTTTTGCACGGTCGTTTTGGGACAACACCTGTTTACTATACAAAATACAGTACAATTGAGTTAATGGAGTCTGTCTCAGTGGCTTTTGAGGGGAATGACTCTAGAAAGCTTCCGTGCACAATTAAGTGGGACTCTAGAGAGTAGTAGAAGAAGCAGATCAATACTTAACATAAAATATAATCCTTGATACTGATTGCTTAGAGCATATTTGATTGCTATGTTGTATGATTGAAATTGCCACCAATACCGATGTGGGCGTTAAGTAAATAAGTCATTTGGGACAATCAATACAGTACTAAGTGGGTTAAACATGTTTTTCAACAAATTTACACTCAATAAAGCACGGTCCCAATCAAAACCCACTTTAATCTCGTACTCAAAGCACCCGCTAAAGCATCCGGCAAAGCCAAGATCTAAGAGCCAAAACTGCAAGACATTTTGGGCTATTCGGCTATTCCAAGCAAGAAATCCAACAAGTTTACCGTAAAGCTAGGCCAGAACTGTACGAGAAATGTTGGCACGCGTTGCTTCAAGAGTCTGAACCTCAGACGTACCGTAGGTGAGAAATGAGGAAAGCGTGAAGAATTTTGTCGACAGAGGTACGGTACCATAGTCGAGACTGATAGCTCTGGGTTCAACAACTCCACTCTCTCTCTCTCTCTCGCTCGCTCTGTCGCAATCTCGCTCTTGTGACCATGTCGGAAGCAGAGGCGGTAGTGGATGCCAATCCCCAAGACCAATCCGCCAGTGCTACTGTGGACGATGACCCATTTTCGGATGCCAAGGAGGCGTTTGGCTCGATGTTTCTGAGTGAAAAACGGAATGAGTCCAACAAGTTGTTTAAAGAATTGGACAAGGATCGTAATGACGGTGCTTCCAGCGAAGAGATTGCCCAATTTGTGGCGTCCAATGACAAGTTGTGGATGTTGCTCAGTGTCAATTTGGATCAACCTCCGGAAGTGGCCGCCAAGATAGCCACTCGCGTCGCCATGGAACTCGCCACAGGATTGACAGGAGAAGAAGCCATGGCCGCCGTCTTGTCCAAGGATCAGTTTCACACCTTTCGAAAAAAGTACATTTTGGATCCAGCGGGATCGCAAGAGTTTTTCTTTCGCGCCGTATTTGCCTCGTTTGACACGGACAATAACAATGTTCTGGACACCAAGGAACTCGATCAGTTTCTAGATATCTTTTACAAGTCGGGCTCGGCCTTTCAGGGAGCCATGGGAACCATCAAGTTACCTCCCAAAGACAAACTTCACGACATTTTCTTGAAGGAATTCGATGACAATGGTGATCAGGAGCTATCGTTTGATGAAGTACGCATGATTATTAGTGGACAGATCAGAGCCGAAATGGCAGAGGAAATCGAGGCGCAAGCGCTGGAGGCGGAGCGTCTGGAGAAAGAACGCGTGGAGAAGGAGCGTCTGGAGAAGGAAAGCCGTAGAAAAGAAAAGGAGGAAGAAGAGAGAAAGAAAAAGGAGGCAAAGCTTCAGGGAAGCAAGACTCAAAGTAAGTCATCGTCCTCTGTGGCAACGTCCTCGTCGAGCACACAAGATGGAACGGAAGGAGCGGTGGAATCGACAAATAAGGATGAGGACGATGGGTGTGCGCTTTGTGAGTGGGTTGCGGGTTTGTTCGGTGCAGCTCCTGCTGCCAAGGCTTAGCTTGCTGACTAGGCGACGCAGAATTACTGCCCGGCACGTACGCCACCTACATGATGGATTGAACGTTGATTGCATGATTGCTGACTAACAGCAAAGAGACAGAGAAGGTAACCGCAAATATATAGCATTATGAGACTCCTTTCCAATCCTGGTTGAGCGAATGAAGACAATCTTACTTCAGCCACAGGAGAACTGTGATTAATATTTCATACATTATTGGTACGGATTGTGACCTGTTCGCCGCAGTTCTTCTTGTTGTCTTCGTTGAGTAGTTTGCTTCCATGGCATGAAAAAGGTGCCATGCCAACCTATCTACGTTGACTCGTGCACGTTTCTCATTCAGAAGCGTAATAAGGATGTGGATGCGGCGCCGGTACAGTCCACGGATGACTACGAGATAGTAGGTTGGCTAAAACGGGAAGGGTCGAGCGCGGGCTACAGGTGCCTACAACTCCAGTCTTACATTTTGTCTGAATCCGATAATAGACGTTTTACTCTTTTTTTTTAAGGACCATTATGCAGTAGTTGCTACATAGCCCCTGGGTGCTCCGCTTGTACCGCTCATCATCACTGCTCCCAGATTATGCTCTAGCTAGGTTATCGGGCAAGGAGTGCAACTGCACCCACAAAGATTCGTTCCATAGCAGGCTGACAGTTTGCTGGTTGCCACTCCATAGCAATTGCCCCCAAAACACATGGTTTCCTGTGACAGGAGTATCTTGTTGCACAGTCCATGAGGGATACTGCCTGTCAAGGATGTGTTCATCACTACCAGGCTGGTCAAGTTGTCCAACAAAAGCAATTCCGTGGGAAGAGTGCCAGATATTTGTGTGTTTTGCAGTTCAAGCTTCTCAAGGCCAGACCACAAACCAACTTCTCTGGGAAGAGAGCCCGAGAATAGGTTGTCATTTATTTTCAAAAGCAACAGTTCTGGTGTTGAAAAGAACAAAAATACCAATTTGAGCATAGATGGCCTCCAAAGCTACAGAAAAGGAATATTGCACTCACGTGAAATCTTTGATAGCTCTTCTGGTAAAGTGCCAGTGATGGAGTTCCTTCGAAAGCCCAAGCTGTTCTGCAAAAAAAAAAAGACACAACACCCTTAGAGTACATAGAGGCACCAATACCATACAAGGTTCATTCATGATACTTACTAGCTTTGTCAACAATCCCATCTCACTTGGAATTGTGCCATTAAGTTGGAAGCCGTTCAAAATCAGGCTTGCCAAGTTGGTCAGCTTGCCAATTTCAGCTGTTCAAGACACATATTTCAAAAACATGAGAGACCACAACGTAACGAAAGTGAAAGGAACTAATGGCACTTACATGGGATTGATGTGAACCCCCCAGGTTTCCGATAGCTTAGATTTAAGTTCTCCAAATTGTGCAGGTTTCCAACTACCTGAGGGAGGAAAGATGCTGTATCCAACAGAGGGCACTCTGAGAAACCCAAGCTCTCCAGGTTCGACAATCGAAGAATCTCAGTGGGGATGGATCCTGTGTAGGCAGAAAATATCAAGTGAGTCAAAAGTCAAACTGTGGAATTTTTGTACTGCTTTTGTCCTCTCCCTTGCATACCAGAAAAGTTCGCTGCATCTAATCCCAGAGTTGTCAGGTTGCTAAGGTTCCCAAGCTCACTTGGTAAAGTCCCATCAAGCTCCCTACCTGAGATTGAAAGACCCTCCAAGCTTTCTAGCTGCCCCAGTTCTGTTGGGAGTGTGCCAGACAAGTGCGTTGTGGTAAACCACAAAGATGTCAGCATTGTCATCAGCCCAACCTCCGTTGGTATATTTCCTTTGAGCTGGAGGTTCCAAGATAATAAAAGAGTTTTCAAGCTGTTACACAGCAGGGATATTTCTGGTGGTATTGTTCCATCCAAGTTGTTGGCAAACACAAATTGCAACGAAAGAAGTCGCCCGTTGTTAGCACAACGAGCAGCTGGGTTTGGGTCCCAACCCTTATCAATTTGTTCCCAATTGCACTCATGAGTGTCCCAATCCAACCAGCCTTGATTTTTCACCCAATAGTCACCCCGTGTTGAGTAATAAAAGGTGGCCAGTGCAAACCTTTGCTTCAGTCTCCATATTGGGAGATGTTGTGTATTGTTGGATTTGTTGATATTGTTGCTTAGCCATTGATATGCCTTGGTCTGTGGAGACCTAGGACTCTCCATTGCCCTGAGGGTGTAGTCAGGCAGATTGAGTCTTTCCCATAGCGATGTTGGCTCTTGTGTGATTGAAGATATTGTAGATGCATATTCTTGTATTGGGATCGCTCCATTTTGCTCCTTTGCTGACTGTGTTTGATTACTTGATTTCCGAGCAAGAAGAAATGCCACAAGAATAATTACAACAAGCACTTGGGCAACAATGGCTTCCAGGGAAAGGAACAAGCAAAGTTTCTTCTTCCATAATCTTTTTGCCCTTGTTGTTATTGGCTCTGCTGTTGGAATCATCCCGTTTTCTGAGTCATCAATTGGATCAGCATGAATAAGAGTGTCATCGCGATATCTGTCATTTTGAGATGTAGACACCAATTCCAATCCCAGCTCTTCCATTTCAGGAATCCTTCCAGTCAATGGCCTGCTTCTTGGACGGTAAAAAATTGGTCTAATCCCAGCCACAGCATAGGCCCCAGGTCCGTCCTCTTGGACCCTGCTTGCTCGAGAAACTGCCGGTGGAGTTACGGTAGGTAATGGTTGGATGCTACGGATGACATCATCTGTAAAGGCATGGGGTGACGAGACCTTTGAATCAAGACTTCTGGGAAATGGGATGGGATGCTGACTTCCAATCACCCCCTCCATGTCTGTCTTGTCTTGCTCCCCTTTCTTCTCACAAGTATTCTCACCATTATTATTTCCCAAGGCATCAAAAGAGTTGATGGCTTGTTGCTGTTGGTGGCCGCTCCCATCCTGACTCTGAGTCTTCGTTTTCGTCATGTCTTCTTATTCCTATGATAGCTTGGTTGGTTGGCTCTTTCTTTGTGCTTTCGTATAGTGCACACCTATAACTTGGTTCTGCTGTTGTTACATCGATCGAACAACCACCTAATCCAACACTCTTGGTCTTATCTGGCAATCACTCTCTATATATAGCCGCCAGCTATACCGTACCGCACCGTATTGTAGCAATACCAGTTGGCCCGTCCTTTCGACGTACTACAACATGTAGTAGCGTAGTCGTCGTCAATCGACTTATTGTGCTGACCCATCACTCAAGTTGTTGACTTTGTCAGAACCTGTGAGGACGATCGAATGAGGGGCGATTGTGCGAGCCCTCACCGTACGCTGTAGATGATAACTTACTTTTCAACTTTTCTCCCCATCCAGGGTCATTTATGTGCTGGTTGATCTGGCATATTCGTACTTCACGTGGTCTACTGTAATATCTATTGTAGGTGTAAAATCGCAAACTAAATGCATGGTCATTTCCATCGTCATTTGGGGGAAGCTTGTAGCTAGTAGAAAAAATGAGGCCAACTTCGCAACGGCAACCTGGCGCACCTCAAATCGATCGATGGCAGTGAAGCGGTGCCATGGTAGTAGTACATATATTGGACACGGAGGGAGTGGCTCGGTGGATTGCTTTGTCACTCTATTGCTACACTACCTAACTATAGTTAGTGGCTTTGGTTGTAGATTGATCCACTGTCATTTCTTATTAGAAGAAGAAGAAGAAGAAGATGCCCCGGATTCCAGGAAAAAGCAAGAGATCTTCTACCGCGACGACGGCAAGATCGCTGTCTTCCTCTCCATCTTCCTCACGATGGTTCGTCTTGATGACAGCGATCGGCTCTTTCATTGTGGGACGTACCATGCAGGTGCAATGGACCCAATCCGAACGATTCCAGTCCGTCATGACTCATGTCAAGCCTCCACAAGAGCAGCAGCAACAACAGCAAGAGATCATAAGTAATGATGTGATTGTGAGTGGTACTAGTGGGGCTGCCGTCGTGCGTTCGACCAATCGTAAGCGTAATCATCACAAGAAACCCCATTTGATGGAAGATGCTCCCTTTCGCATCAACGACCGGACGCTGCGTCTGTCGCCTCATGTGGATCATTTGTGGCTGCACAATGGCAACTATATGCCGGAACTTCCACAAGACGAAAAACCAAAGACCAAACTCGTCTTGACGGATTTTGGTTGGAATCATCCCGATCCGACTGTCGGAAGAACCTTTGTCCGTTCCTTGCGGATGCGAGAACTCATGCAAGCCGTCATTAATCATCCCTATTTTGATCCTACTTTTCGATGGACCGATATGGAGAATGGAGTCTACCAACCACACGGTAATCTACAGTACTACGTCTTTATGGATGTGGAAACCTGTTTTGAAAGCAACTATCCCTACTACAAGGGAGACTTCAAGCCAAACTTTGATTCGGACGGAAGCCGCAAATACACATCCCAGTATGAAAGTCCTTGTTATGATATCCTCCAATGCGATGCCATTCCCCGCATTCTAAAGTCGCCACTCTTTCGAAACGTACCCACGGCACGGGTATTCTTTTTCGATTGCCGCGGTCATGGACCCAACGAAGGCTTTCGGACGACACAAGCATCGACACAATTGTCCATTGTCTCCATTTCCAGTGGCACCAAACAGCTCCATCCTCACAGTGACATGGGACAACCACCGCCGCCCATCAACCCGTCCCGACTCTCCCATCGCAAACGACAGGAAATTCTCGACGAAACAGCATGCGATCCACAACAACAAAATAATAATAATGGCAGACCCTATTTCTTGACGTGCATCGCCAGTACTCGCAATGTCCTCCGCTACGACTTGTTTGGATTGCACAATGCCACTGCGGGGATTGTCTTGTTGGACAAGAAACAGTTTCAAAAATTACGTCCCAAAACAACCTACAAGAAACTCTTGCAACAATCCGTCTTTTCGGCCACACCCCGCGGCGACAATAAGTTTTCCTATCGATTCACCGAAGTTCTCAGTGCCGGGGCCATTCCCGTGGTGCATTCCGACGATTGGGTATTGCCGTTTCGGCGTGAATTCATTGATTGGCCGCAAGAATGTGCCATTATCATTCCCGAAGCTAAAGTCAATCAAACCGTCGACATTCTCCGAGCGATATCCGCAGAGGACACGTGTCGTCGACGACGACGCTGTTACGAAATTTATACGCAGTACATGGCCAATCCCGAGGGGAATATTGACGGGATTTTGGAATCGGCAGAAGCCATGGCAGCGACAACAAACGCGTAGAACTGCACATGTATTGGAAGGAAGTACGTATGCAATCATCAGAATGATCCACCGAACCAGGAAGTGGTTTCGATTCGATTCTGCAGTTGACATTCTTCGACAAAACTATCATTTTCGGACCCAAGCATTCATGCAGTCATGGCCCGAAAGCGCGTTGGTCAAAACCTTGCTCTTTCGGGAATTCGACAAGGTTCGGGTTGGACTAGGCGGAAGTGCGACCGGTTTCAGCAAGCTCCGACCCTCCAAGTTGAGCTACTAGCAAGCAACGAGCAACCTCGAATACGATGCCGTGAAAGACGATCCTCGGGACACAGATGACGGGAAAGGCGTTTGCGTACTACATCCCTCCTCCTTCGCCCCGGGAGTGCCGATGAGTATCCACGCACGCTCACAGCTCGAGGTGCGTTTCCACGCTATCACCGAACGAATCATTCGATTCCAGCAAAGAAGAAGAAAGGCAACGGTTCTTTCGTTTCACAGCGGAGTTGTTGCTAGACGCAACTTGCTTCCTTGTGCGCATCACCTGACTGACGTTTGGAGTGGCAACTATAGCTAGCTAGCTACGAGGAGTTCTTAAAACGAGAGAGTATACTTGCCAAAGATGGGAATGAATTTTGAGCATTCATGTAGACATGGGACTCCATGATCTGTGCAAACGGCCGAGTCCCAGGAACGACGGTATGTCGGCGCGTCTCTTTGCCAAGCCCAAGCGCGAGAGATCGATGGATGCCCGAACTGATATTACAAATCCGGCCGTGGCTCTCTTGGATTCATCCTCACATCAAATCAAACCAACAACAGCCAAAAGCTTATCGATATCGCCGAAGCCCATGGATCTGGGGCGGCGTTTCCTCCGGTGGGCTTCTTCCCATCGTGCTGGTAGCGACCAGGAAGGAAATGCAAGAGACTCGAGAACATCGCACCAAGAAGAGGGTTCAGCTCCCGTGCCATCCAACCAAGATGCTTCCGAATTCATGGATTGTGACGAGAACGCAGAGAGTTTCAAGGAGGAAACCATTCGAAAGGAAGATATTGCTTTGAAAGCCGACACCAATGTTGATGGAGGCATTGACCCGAAAGAAGCTGCAAAAGACGAGGTGCAACCGGTGGAAGATTCCGTCATGCAAGATGCCGTGGAGACTCACAGTGAGAATCAAGATGCTTCCTCAGAGTCGAACATTCCTGGGCTCGGGAGAAGTAAACCCAATCCGATGGTACAAGGGAACCCAACACAAGACACCGACAGCGACGAGGCCTTCATGGCAAAAATGGATGCGAAATTCCCAAACGCGCGCAAACAAACCGAGAAGCTGCTGCACTTAGTCGCAATGTCGGATGAGACAGCCAACAAGACACCAAGCTTCTTCACGAAAACATACAAACAGATTGACCTTGATCAGACCAATCAAGACTGGTCAGAAAATCATTACCTGAAGGGCGACGACAAAAAAGATGCTGACAAGGATTCGGTGCTCCTTACATCCTATGGCGTAGAATACTTGGAGAGCAAATTGCCGGCGGTCGACGCTATGGTTAGACGGCCATTCATGGTGGGGTCTGTTGCACCTGATACAGGTAGTATCACTGGAGCAACCAAGGCTGAATCCGGTAGCTGGCTCACAATTGACCGAACCCCATTTCCCTCAAAGCAGCCAGAGGTTCCCGACGACGATTTCTTCCCAAAACAGCTCAAGCACATGACGCAACTGGAACATCTACAATGCTGCAAAGGCCTACCGGTACTTGCCGGGGATATGTTGGCCACTTTCTGCAAGCAACTGAAGTATTCTGACGTTGCTGAAGATATTCTGAGTATGACAAATGATGAGACTCGTAAAAAAACGAAACAATTTCTGCTTTCCTCCCTGCAATATTCGCTGGGCCAGCAAATCACGCCACTCTTTCAGAAGCTGTTCAAATTGGCTGGGACGCCTGAATCGAAGCACTCAGAGTTTGTCGCGAAGAACGTGGAAGTTTGCTTTGGCTTTGGTCATGTTCGCATGCTCTGCGAAGACTCCAATTCCGGCTGCAAAGTGATCAACGGAGCTCTCTTCGACGTTTTGATGGATGTTCAGGTGCAAACAATTGGATTTGGTACAAAATCTACCATGGTGGTCACTGTTTCCCCTGTCCCTGACGCCGATGTAAGTCTCAATCTAGAAGTTCTCGGTGCTCTTGTGGCTGCAGGCAATGTCAATAAGGAGTTTCTCCAAGAGCTGTGCGGCATGGCGGAGAACACCGATGCCAGCACTCTTGTCCCAGGAAAACTCGAAACCTATCGCCACCTACTCGACAAAGCACAAACGTTGCAATGTAACAGCCAGATCAGATTGGTGTCGGATGACAACGCTCATGTTCCTCCGGAAGATTCAAATTCAATGATTCTGACTGACGGATGGTGCCTGTATACTCGGAAGCGCCTCGATAATTGGCACTCCCGCCATGCACGATCCATTCTCAAAGCACTCCAGAGTGGCACTTTCAAAATGAAGAGACCCTTGTATGAACTGTTGGAAGGTTCTGGAACAACAGGTGGGGCTAGTTTATGCAGAGCTTTCAGCCAGGATGAGCTGGATCGCTTGGTATATCCTTTGCCTTCTTCTACTGCGCAGCAAGAAGTTGGTTGCCGGCTCCTTATCGACAATGCAGGCATAACAATTTTGGACGGCCCACCAGGTAAGTGACTCGAAATCTCGAGCTCTCGGACTCTCTCGGGCTACATCCATTCAGATGACTCACGGACTCACTTGTAACTGATTGGGAATCTGTTCAGGTACCGGCAAAACGCAAACTATCGTCAACATTGTCGCGTCAGCTCTTGCTCGGGGCAAGAGCGTGCTTGTATTCTCCTCCAATGATGTTGCGCTTCGGGCATTCTTCAACAAGTTGCCGGAGAAGTTACGAGCCCTGTGCATGGCAGTTTTCGCGTTCGAAAAGCGTCCAGATGAGCTGCTGAAAGTTGTAGGGCAGATGGATCTGATGTTGAGCGATGTTTTGAAGGGAAAGGCCACCTATGAAAAGAAAATCCAAGTAAGTTTCTTGCACATGTCTACAGCCAGACCTCGCATTGCATTTGTCGAGACTCAAACTACTGGTTCCCCTCCTTTAGTCTCTGGAGGCCGAAATTGAAAGAGCCAAACTACGCTGTCAAGCAATCGACCAATGCGATCAAAACCAACGTGAAGAGAGCAGACAACTGCTATCAAAGGAGAAAGTGAGGCGCATTCTCGACCTCACCACATCTATTGGTAGGAAGTTCTCATGGGCCGCTGCAGCTTTCCTTAGCGACGATACAACCAAGCATGCTTTTGTTCGACAACTCAACCGTTATTGCCAGGACTACGCATCTCACAAGCACATTGCTCTTGGATCTGTTGATGGCAAGATTCAAGATCTCATCGACCTTGTTCAGATGCAGCAAGTTGACGGCTCTTCAGCGTCGCCCCTGCTGCCTCCTCACCTAAGGGAAGACCCCCCTTCTGAAGCAGAGGCCATGCTTGATCAGATCACTATTGACGAACGCAGTCCCGAGACCAAGGAGGACTGGGCCAGCATCCAGAAAGCTCTCGAGTGGCGACAACAGTTCGTATTGCCTATTGTCGAGGCTAACTTCGCAGAGAGTGATATCTTCGACAACAATGGATCCATTTGCAATGATTTCCTCGCCATGGCGAGCAAGGTTGATCAAATCGGAATGCTGCTTGACGAGTTGGGTCCAGATGTTCGCGGCCAGTTCGTGGCCCGCTTGAAGTCTTGCTCCTGTTCTCTGGAACCCCAGGACGAGCGTCTGAAACTAATCAGCAAAATCCAACATCTACAGGCTGAGCTCGTTTCCACGAAAGCGATCCTCACCATCAGCGATAAAATGACGCAGAAAAGCCGAGGAAAACTGGTGGATTTGGCCTCAGTTCTTAGAGATGCCAGCGGTAAAGCATTCTCCGACAGCCAACAGAAACTTCTTAATGCTAAGAACATTGACGAGAAGTCCCTGAGTCAAAACATGCAAATGAAGAAGGCTTTATCTGAACTTGTCAAGGTGCTACCTCTTGTTGCAATGACAACCCAGCAGACGAGTATATTCTTGTCGCCAGACAGCACGTACGACATTGGAATCAACGACGAAGCTTCTCAGTCTGGGTGTACTGCACTCTTGCCGGGAATGCATTGCCGACAACTGCTCATAGTGGGAGACGACAAGCAATCAAGCGAAAAGCAACAAAACATGAGCGACGACAGACTCAGTGTACTGAGGGCAAGACTGCCCAGCTTCGCATCATCAGAAAAGCTGTTACCAGGATCTTCCTCTATGGATCAATTCAAGGTTGCTTGTCCCAGCAATTCAATCTTTCTCTCCGAGCAATTTCGTGGCCCACCTGAGGTTGTCCAACCCAGCAATGAACTGTTCTATTTTGGAAGACTGATTCCTGTGAAGTTGCCAAGCAAGGAGGCAGCTTTGATTGATAAGCCTGTGTATGGGGAGAAGGCCAAGAACGGCGTCAATCAGGAGGAATGTGACGAAGCCGCAAGGATCTTTCGAAAGTACGCCACTCGAAGAGCGAAATGTGGCATGAAAGTGGAGACCTTCATGTTCATCTCTCTCGGTGGATTGAGGCAGATCCGTGCTCTCGAGAAGAGCATTAACGTTGTGCTGAATGAATTGCTAGAACAGTATGGCCATGTGATCAGTCAAGATGATTTGTTGTTTGGTGAACCAAGCCAAATTATTGGCAACGAAGCTGATAACATCATTCTCTCATTGGTCGACGACAAGAATAGCGTCCGTTGCCAGAGCTCTCCCGACGACAGAAAAGAACACAACGTTGCCCTGACCCGCACAAAGAAACGGATGTTCGTGCTTCGCAGTTTTGACGTTTCAGATATTGAGCAAGCATGTGACATCCGGAAGCAATACATCCCCTATTTCAAGTTTGCGAATGAAATGAAAGGAAGTGGAGCTAAATCTACAACGAGTTGCAACACTTGCTTGGCCCAATCACTGTTAATATCGGAGCTTGAACGCCTTGGGTATGTTGTGTCGGTAAAGGATGGAGGCATCTGGGCAAAATCGCTTTGCGTGTGGGGAAATGACGTCGAGTCTTCGGGTGCCCTGTTAATGTTGGAGAATGCGGGTGAAGAACAAGACGTTTGGGAAAAGATTCATGAGGAACAGACGTCTCTCGAAAGAGCTGGAGTCAGCTGTATCCGAGTTGACTTTTTTGCTTTGACTTCCAATTTCCAAGGCACGCTGGACGCTGTGGTGGGCTTTTTGAAGAAGGCTGGAGTACACGGCAAGCCTACGGTCCCACAAGAAATTGTTCCAAACCTTACTGAAGGGGCTCGCATACCGGTACCGGTAGTTACTGACCCTTCCTCCCACTCAGAGTCGTCCCTCTCCGCCTCTGTGATTTCTTCTCGTAGTGGAAGGGGACGTTTCGAGGAGTCTGAAGGGGAAGACATCAAGCCCAAAGCCAAGGAGCGAGCTACTGCTAGAGCGGTGGCAACCAAGCGCAAGTCCACCGCGACATCGGCGCCCAGTGACTCCAAAGTTGAAGATTCCAAAAAGGAAGAGACACGGACACGAAAGAAGCGCAAGAGGGCATCGAAGAAGGGAACTACTGTCAAGAAGGAAAACACCGCCAAGAAGGGAAGCACTAATACCAAGAAGGCAACAGGTGGGCGTGCCAAGAAAGGATAGCAACCATTGGCACTCCTCGTTTATGGACCCCACCAGTATCAAGTATCAACCATTCCCCCGCGTCAGGTTGGAAAGTCGATAGGCACAGTGCCTGTTATGATAGCACAACTTAACCTATAGATGCTATTTGCTTACCATGTAGACTCATTGCTGATCCTCTAGCCAATGACCTTCTGCTCCATGATAGCTCTGCAACCTGCTAGCTCTGCAACCTGCTTGGCAAGTTCCACACATCATGGTCCGGCCAAATCGCCCCTGATTTCGATGCGGTCGCAATAAGATCAGGGCAGCTGTGGGATGCTTTCATTGAATTGTTGAGGGCAAGGAAGGCATCAACGTGCACAACTCCTCTGGCTGGTGGCATCATAGACTCTACCGGTGGCTGGGTGGTAGCCCTTGCGCAAATGCAAGTGGTTCATGGTTCAGCTGGAAATTTGTTGAAAGAGATTCACAGGCTAGCTGGTCTACCAGTGGGTTTCTTACATAGACGTATACTACATAGTACCGGTACTTGACCCCATGGATTCACAGACGGCTGCCAGCCGAATCTGTCCTGTGTTGGCTTGTCGTATGGCTTCGAGTGATCCTAGTAGGGGATAGTAAGTTTGCTTGTACAGCGACCCCAGACAGCTCCCATCATGACTCCTTGCATGAATCCAAACACCGCCGCGGACGACAAGGTATGCAAGCAAACCACGGTAAGATTGATATTCTGGTTCTTCCATTGTCTTCCTTTACTGTATTCACTGCATGCAGCACAACGCGGCCATGCACAGAATCGAACGACCAATGACTCCACCCGACTCGACTCTTGTGGTCCATGGTCCTTCGTCCGTGGTCGTTTTGGCGGCAGGCCGCGAACGACGTGACAGAGCTCGTGACAGGCAGTTCAGCGGAAATGTTGTTAGGGTTAGAGCTGAACCGAGGTTCGAGCGAGCGGGCAGAGGCCTGAAAGAAATTTCGCCCTCACGAAATCGCGAAAAATGGCAACATTCGTCCTTTTTGAACCTCTTGCTTGCGTTGCGTGGGTTGGAGACTGGTACTTTGGTGCATACGAACAAAGCTCAGACCATCGCCCATGATCATGGCCATCTCACAGCTACAAATATACTTCCGTAGTTAGCAAGAGTCTATCTAGCCAGCCTGAAGCAACATGGCTTTTCCAAGGTTGTGCTTAACACTGCTGCTGTGGGTACTATTCATAGAGGGTGTGACCGCAAAGTATTCCCAACCATATCTTCGTGTGGCGGCTCTTTCAACTGAGGAGCAAAAGCCGGATGACTTTCGCCTCCTCTTTGAAGAAGATCTAGATTTCTACGAGAGCTTGCTGGGGTTTTCGTACGGAGCATCCCTTCCACCGACGCCATCACTTCCATCACCATCACCAGCTCCCACTAGCGGCAGTTGCCAAGACCTGCTTTGGAGCGACGAATTCGACTCATCGTTCCAGGATTCTATATGGTCGTACGATTTGGGAGCCAATGGGTGGGGCAATCAGGAGCTTCAAAACTACACACAAGATAATGTCCGTGTTTCAAACGGCAATCTGATTATCACTGTCAATGATGGTGACGGTGATAATGGTAGCTTTACATCGGGAAGAATCCGTACCCAAGACAAGTTAGAAGTTGTTTATGGAAACATTGAAGCGCGCATTCGAATGCCTACTCTGGCCAATGGGATGTGGCCTGCCTTTTGGACCCTCGGAGCCAACTTTGAACAAGTCGGATGGCCCAGTTGCGGAGAAATGGATATCATGGAAATGGGATCCGCCGAGGCCATTGCCTCTGGAACAATTCACAAACGTGTCAGTAGTGCCTTTCACTGGGAAAACCAAGGAGAACGAGTCTCGTATTCGCTGGCGGCAACGACACCGACTAATCTCAACGATGGAGAGTTTCACGTCTTTCGAACCGAATGGAACTCGACCCGCGTCCAGACATTTGTCGATGACATTCGTATCATTGACTTTGATATCACACCCGAAGCTTGCACGGATTGTACCGAATTCCACCAACCACACTTTCTCCTTCTCAATGTCGCCGTGGGAGGTGACTATACTGGCATCTTGGACGCATCCGGAATCACAGCGCCACTCCCTGCCACCATGGAGGTAGACTATGTCCGTATCTGCAACAATGGAGAAACGCGTCTCAGTGGATCCGCCATTGAAGACATGGTCCAGTACGATTTTGATTGTGGGTCACCCACGACTTGTACAGTCGACGCTCTCAACAACTACGCTGGCGATACCAAATGTGGAAACCGCATCCAGAACTGGATGGAAACGGGAATGACCCAACAAGAGGCTTGCTTGACAGTGGCGGGGACCGAGTTTCCTGCCGAATGTGGAGTCTGTGCCAGACAAGTTCTTGACTGCGGCGTCGAGACTTGTACCGATGCGGCTCTGGACGCCAGTGCTGCAGGTCCTACGTGTCGAGATCGCATTAGTTTCTTGATTGCCCGCAACGGCGTGACGGAACAGCAAGCGTGCAACCGAGTGGCCGGAAGAGAGCATCCGAACGAGTGTGGCGCGTGCAATCCAATCGACTGTGATCAGCCAACCGTCTGCACACCCGAAGCAATCAATGCCGATGCCAACGGCCCAACATGCCTCGAACGAATCCTGTTTTTGATTTCCCAGGGCAGCTCCGAACTGGAAGCGTGCAAGCAAGTGGCCGGAGTGGAATTTTCCCAAGAGTGTGGAGCTTGTAACGTCCTGGATTGCAACCGACCAGTCACCTGCACAGATGCAGTACTGGACAGACTGGCGGGAGAATTCTCCTGCCGAGCTCGAATCTCCTTTCTAATCTCGTCGACCGGAATGAGTGAAGAAGATGCGTGTCGGCAAGTGGCAGGGGTCGAGTTTGCCGATGCATGTGGGCCTTGCTACGAAAAGCCGTTGGATTGTGGTGTTCCTGATTCCTGCACCTTGGAGGTGTTGGAAAATGATGCCGACGGATTCCCTTGTAGGGATCGGATACTGTTCCTAATGCAATCCCAACCGGAAGAGCAAGCCTGCAATCAAGTGGCTGTAGTGGAGTTTCCAGATCAGTGTGGGGGTTGTGCTCCTCCCGTACTGGATTGCGGTGTTCCCGATTCATGTACCTCGGACGTGTTGGAAAATGACGCTGACGGATTCCCCTGTGGGAATAGGATTGCCTTCCTAATGGATTCCTTGAACCAATCGGAGGAGGAAGCATGTCGTCAAGTGGCTGTCGTGGAGTTTTCGGATCAGTGTGGTGGCTGTGCTCCTCCATTGTCAATCACACGAAGCAACGGAGAATAATCCAGAATATAGTCCAAGTCACGTCTCACGCAACACCCTCAACCCAACACGACGACGAGAGCCGCGCAGAAAGAAACCGGTGACTTGGGAAAACAACATGCAGAACGACGTAGGAGAGGAAATAGGAGGAAATAGGCGTCTTGCACCATTGACCACACCGTGCACGTTCGAGGTACGATACCTTTACGGTAATCAAAGATCCACGAGGCGCCCTCAATCGCGCGCTTCAATGGAATTCTGGGACCAGAAAGGCTCGAAACAGTACATGGTGTTTCATCTTGAAAGGCAACATTCGGAGGCAGATAAGAAGTCACTGATCAGATTTCTGCGGGCTTCGAGAGCTCGACCAACAGCTTTGGCTGGAAATCCGTTTGTCTCAAACTAGGAGCCAACGAAACGAACAAGCACGGCCTTACCACGATAAAAAAATGCATACTTCTTTCATATGTAATACTCAACTAGCTAGAAAAGACATTTATTGGTCACCAAGGTTTGGGATGAGGGAGCCGTCCCTCAACCTCACCGCCTTGATAAAACAAGAGACAGGGATGGGGCCAGGGCAGCAGATGACATTGTTTGCCGAGCGATAGAAACGGAGGCCTTGCCTCACGGCTCGGTCCACATCGATGTAGATAACGACATCCACAGAGGCTCGGATGCCACTGCGCACTTCCGGATCACCAGGCAACCCGACGGCCATCTGAATTGCTTGCCGACCCATTCGATTCAGGCCTCCTGTGCGGAGGATGTTCTGAAAGGCGTCCTCGTAGGTCCCGTGGACGCAGACCGGCACATCGTCAGAGCTCTCGATGAGTGTCATCAGCCGCTCGGGATCAACTGTTGTGATGGTGTGGCCCTGGTTAGCCCGAATCATCAGAACGCCATTTTCCTCCATCACAGAGTAACGCGCCTTCACGTCAGTGCCAACTAGCTGAAGCACTTGGTCCACGGTCGCCCCGCTGAAATTCTCTGAGAGGGCTTGCAACACCGTCTGAACAGGAACATATCCATCGGGGCGAATGGTGTCTTCCGAACCGACCCGCAAGTACCAGGTCAAGGCGCGCGAAAATCTCGGCAAATTCCTCTCAGAGAGCCCTTGTGACACCTCTGGGACGGTGTCGGCGGAGGCTGTTGGGTTACCGATTCTGCGGCGCATGGCGTTGACTCTGGCACGCTCCTGTTCCTGTTGAACCCGAACCAGCGTGTCCATCATGTCCGGATCGTCATGTGGGACCCACACAGGAGCAGGAGGATCGCCCAGGGCACTGGGCGAACGCCCGCCAAGTTCCAGCTCCACACGGCGCTGCAACGAGAGGGGCCGGGGCTCCAGACGAGCATCCACACCAGGCGCCAAAGCCGAGACCGAGCTCAACATGGAGGGCAGCAAAATCGCCACGGTCCATTCAATGCTTTCGGCGTGCCTGTTTCCAGCAGAGACACCGGTCCTGCCCACAATGCGCTGAACGACCCGATTAATGAACGCAGTGGCTTGTTCCTGGTGAGAGAGGTCAATGTCAGGGGAAGTGGCGAGATACTCGTCCGCCATCTCACGGTAATAAGGCAGTGTTGTGGTTCGCGCCGCAAAGGCACCAGATTGATCCGTCCCATAGTAGCGGGCCATAAGAGTACCACGCCTTGCTCGGACGTGCTCAGTCAAGCGAAATTCTTGTTCCACGTCGCCTTCAATCGCCCTAAAACCTTCCGTCATGTTCAAGACTGTGCCGTCCGGAGCATAGAACCAAAACACAGAAGGTCCAAATGGAGTGGTGAAAGGCGAGAGAGGGCGAACGGGGGTACGTGCCCATGCCAACCTGCGTCTCAGCTGGTCCAATGCCTCGTCTTCTGTGATGACACCAACGGTGGCTGGCGTCATTTCGGCAATCGCCGCGGCGTGCCCGTTTTGTGCTCGACGAACTGCTTCTGTGGAGCTGACATGGGGGCTTGTCACGTGGTCCAAAGTTGCCACGACAACGAGCGTGAGTCCAGGGCTCACGAAATCACTCACAGAAGCCCCCACGCTGCGGGCAAACATAGAAACGGCACAGAGTGCGGCTGGGCCCAAAAGCAGATTCAGGCGCTCCGCGAGGTGACCGCTTCCTGAAACGGGGACGTGTGCGCCCTGGGAGTCGATTCTTGTGTGGTAGATGGACCTCAGGAGGGCGCTGATGGAGGAGGGTCCTTGGTCTCCCCATGGATGGTTCGCGTTGGCCTGAAGCCACAACCGGTGCATTTGAGGGACAGCCACAGCGATCCTAGCCATCATGGACCGCCTCAAGTCGTCCTGTGAGAAGGCAGCAGGAGCACCAAATCGATGAAGGAGACGCAAAATCACCGAAGCTTCTGCCACTGAAGAATGAACGGTTAAGATTTCGTCCTGCAGAATAGAAGCAAATGCCGCATTGATCGGTTGCTGTCTGTTGGGAGATAGCCTGGCTCCCGCTGGCAAGGTCACGTGCCGCATGATCTCTTGGGCAAACCAAAACAAGACCCTGCCGGTGGCTGTTGTTTGTGGGTTGGCCCAAGCTTCCGTCTCGATGGTGCGCAAAATACTGGACAACGCAATCAACCAAACATGTGGCATGGCCAGCTCATTCATAAAGACCAGACAGAGTCGCTCGTAGACAACGCGCTGGTTCTCCTGGTTTTGAAGAGAGACCATTGGGAGACACACAGACATTCTCTGACGCGTCAACGGCGATGCGTCCATGGTTTCAATTTGATCCGCCATCCCCAACGCCACCAAAGTCGGCTCAAAGACGGCATTCTCTTGGAATTGTCCCACAACCAACCCTTGGTCGAGAGCAGAATCGCTAGTGTTGTGGTCAGCTTGCTCCATGGCCCGCAAACAAAGAGCCACAGGACCCGTTTCGTACAAGACCAAATCTTCCTCCTGTGGGGCTCCCTCTGTGTTGAGCGTGGCCAAGGCACCCACGTTATCTCGGTTGATTGTGTTGGCTCTGGCTGCTCGATTGCTCAAACGAGCCAAACTCGTGGCACTCATTCCAGAACGCTCCAGGACGGTCAGCGACTCCAACGCAGCGTTGATAATGGCCCGAGGGAGGCGGGCTGCCCGTGACGCTTCGGCGGCTGCTTCTTGCGCCAACTGTGCTCCTTCCTGGACAGCTGCTTGCACTTGGACGGACAATTCCTGGCGTTCTTGTGGCGTTTCGGCCAAATGGAGACGACGAAGCAAGGCATGCACGCCAGATGTAGATTGTTGCGTTTGGGCTTGTGGGTGCAGTTGTGTCATGGCATCTTGATTGATTCTCACCAACCATTGATTAAGACGAGCCCGCCAAGCTGGCAAGTTGCCTCGGGTAAAGAAAGCACGGGCAATGTCCTCCATTTCCTCTTCGCTCAGCTGCTGCAAGACTTCGCTGCCGTCAGCCAAATTCAACAAGGCATCCAGGTGAAGCGTCCGATTGCCCGAGAGAGGCAATGTTCCGCCCACCAAACGAGGGTAGACCCTGGAGGGGAGCGTCCGAAGCTGCTGCACAGGCACGAAAGGACAAGAACGGAGCAGCAAGGAGTCATTCACATCGGGAGGAGATGGCAAGGCACCCACCCAATCACCCTTGACGGCGACAAGTCTCGCGTGCGTGGCCTCCCGTTGGTTCACCACGACAACAGCCGCGGTCTGGGCGGCTGTGTAGTGGGCCATTACGACGGAAACATTGTAGGACGACACTCGTTCCATGGCGCGCTCGGAACTGGAGCGAAATAGAACCAGGAGGCTGGGGAGGTGGGCAGTGACTGTGGCATGCCTAGCCAGCTGGGCCGTGCTATAGATCTCTCCATCCGTCATAAAGACGAAACAGTTGGCATTGGGAGGGACATGGCACTGAGGCTCAAAAACCGTGTGGGGCGAGGTGCCTCCCGTGGAACGCCATTGGATCTCCTGTCTTGGACGAGGCGGCATGCAAACGGAATTCCAGAGAGACACCTGACCAACTCCAAGGTTGTTGACGAATGCTCGAGCATTCTGGAGCCTTACGCCACCGGTGGATCCGCTGTTGTCAACGGCAGCATAAGAGTCGGGCGCATCCAACAGCGTCCCAAGAGGAACCAGTTCAGGCAAAACCGCGCCCGAGTCATCGCCAGCAACGGTGATCACCGAAGAGGCCGTGTCGTCGTTGGTGGTGGTGCTGGTGGTGGTGGTGGTCCTGGTAGTGGTGTTGGCAGCGGCAGTGGTCGCCATGGTGGCGAAAATACGCTTCTTTCTTTTCTTCTTCCTTGCTTTGAAGGATGTTTTGTGGGTGGATGCTCTCCTCGCTCCTCCGTGTCGGTTTGGGCTTTGCAAAACGTCTGGAACAAGTCTGGATTTGATTGGGTTTCGGCTGGTTGGTCCAGTAGCCACGACTGATGATCCATAACTCTATCTTCAAACAACCCCTAACCCTACCGTATCACATGAAATCTTCACGCAGAATGCTCGTCGCATTGTCATCACCAGCAACATCCTTCCGAACCAAGCTCTCTGTCTTTCGCATGCTGTAGACTGTGATGCAAACAAAACATCCTTGGTCTCTGACGGATGAGGCCACAAGTGGTTCTTTCAAAACAAGTCCATCGACGAGAGGGGTGTGTGAGGATTGCGAGAGGACCGGCCAGCAAAAAGCGTGCGCATCATTCGCGCGTGGTTACGAGAAGCAACCACAAACACTGCAACCTGGTACAGTACAGTACGGTACCGGCACCAGGTATTGTGGTATTGCAGTGCTGGGGCCGGACCAACTGTCATGGTGTCTCCAGCAAGGGTCCATGGTTGTGGGCAATGCCGGTTCTGTGTCTTACCCTAAATATATGCGCTGTGGGGCTAGCCACTGTAAGCATTGAAGCACTGGGGCTGCTAGAGGTTGGGGGCAATCCCGTGCTGCGGCCAATAGCGTGGGAAATCCAGTTCTGGGGTGGCCCATACTCTCCGTTTGAAGCACGCTCTGGCTAGCCAGGAAGTGCGAATACCTCTGCATTTGCCCATAAAAATAATACCGCTTGAAGGATGGTTTGCTTGGGATGGAATCTAGATTCGATTCTTTCTAGAAATTGTGCTATCGGTACCCAATAGCCTGATGCAAAGTACGGTTGCAACCATCCATTGCACCGTTCATTTGATCGATCGGGTCAGTCGATAGCCTGCGTCGTTAGAGCGCCTCTGGGGGTCCCCGAAAGGCTCTACCGGTACTAGTAGAGAGCGTAGGAACAGTCGAGCGATCGCCCCACCATTTGCATCGTCAACGACAGACACCAACGCGAGCGAACGAATTTAGCCAAGCTACGCGCATAGAATTGCTCTCCTTTTACTAATGTTTATGCATGTTTATGCTCTACTTTTAGTCTTCAACAATGCGAATTGGGACTATCCTTGGTTTGCTCATAACAATATACTCTTCTTCCAGGGGCGTAGGTTCTTCTCCAGGTTCAAACGACAGTTGAAATCGCGGTGGCGGCAAGGCATCCCCTTGTGGAGATGCGGCTGGCAATGTGCTCACTTCCTTGTGAGAGTTCGTCGAGGCTTCCACACCAAAATATTTTCCGAATCCGCTCATGATGCGCAAGAGTGGAACCCCCCATGAAGTGTACGGTATCGAGTACCGTCAAGGTTTGCGGTGATTGCATGATGCATAGCCCAAGGAATCCCATGCTCGTCCAAGTAGATCATACCGCAGTCTCCGTCGTGGGTAATGTCTTTCAAATTCTGGTTTTCGTCCCCAACCAGGCGCGTAATGCCGATATCGTCTTCCCTTAGGATTCTGTGACCAGGAAAATCTGGAAGCCATCGAGACGAGACTTCGCCTACGGTCCCTCTTCGTTGTGCACCAAAGTCGAAAAGGCGAGTTCGCATGTCGGGGTCGGCTTCAGCCACCGCAGCCAAGTCGAAGGTAAATTTCGTGTCGTTGCTAGTCCTGATTGTGTACAATTCCACTTCGACATCACTTTCAAATTGGAAAAGCATCGAATCGTACCCACGAGACACCTCCACAACCTTTCCAATCCGTTTCACCCGATGATTTTTCTGGCCGTCCGGATTGTTCGATGTGAGCGCGAAGACAGCCTCACCAAGAGACATGCAGAGATGTCCTACTGTCAGACCGAAAACTTCAGTCCAACGCCAGTCGCATCGAGAGACACACCCATCGAACCTACGATTGCTCATGCCAACTTCCGTAGATTAGTTCCCTACTCTAGCTAGTAGCTGGACCCCCATTGATTGCTCGTTGCGGAACTGCCGGTACCGGTTGCGTGTACCATACCGGTACAGTCGTATCGGTACCGGTACGGTTGAAGGTTTTTTGCCTTGGAAATTCTTCACCGAACTGTGATTGAACGTGTGACTGAGTGTGTCTGAATCGCACGCCAGCATGGAAGGTTTCTAACTAAGAACACCAACACCAACCACCACCGCAGCTAGCTTGGTATCGGTAGCAACCGTAAGATACGAAGCACACCAACAACTGTTCCCTGAGTGTTGACCTGAGAGTCCACAACAACGGCAAGCAACAACCTTTATCTTAGTTATTGCGCAGAGCTGCAGGAAGCACCTGACCTGCAGAATAGTTCGCTATTGAGCCTCATCGCCGACGAGAAAGAACTCATCGGCAACGACTGAAGAACCGAGGCCAGTACTCAACTTGCTCTCGGAAACTAAAAGATTGAAGCTGGGGTTGCCATTGCTTGTTCGATTTCCCCCTGCTCATCCTGAGAACGCCCCAACAAAAGCGTGTCAGGGGACTTGTTGTCCATTGACTCCTGCTCTGCTTCATTGACTTCTTCCTCAAAATTCAAAGCTAATACGATGGGTGATGCGCGTTCCATCGTTTGTTGTTCATTGGGCTGAAGGCTACAGAGCTGTTAGTGCTACTATTGATTTGAGCCTAACCCAAGCTGTGTGTGAGTGCTGTTCTTTGAACTCAAGCAAAAACGAAGGAGCAAGGTGGGTTAGGGATAACGAAGTAACCATCAGATTCTGTAGGTGACCTCAATCATTGCTCTGGTGTATAGAAAGAGCAATGAAGAATGAGGCTCTCTGCTCCAACTCCTCTTCACTTGGATACTACCTTTGCAGTATTGGCGGCTTGTTCTGGAGCCACCGCTCTCGGTTGCCGTCCAGCGACGGCTGGTCTTGCACTTGCAGCCACGTTCTGTTCCCCTCCGTAGAAAAAGAGACAGAATGAAACCCTTACAGCTACGATATGGTATGGTACCGGCAGCTAAAAGAGCATTGACAACTGCTGTGACGTGACGCATGCGATTGCCAGAAATGATTCTCTTTGCTTCCAAACAATTGAAGAGCAGGCCCTTGCTTGTCAATCATCCCACGGAGAAGCTGAATGCGTCTCTACATGGATGAAGATTTGTTGAAGGGAATGACGTTCCCGAGTACCACATTTTGCGAGCAGAGCATCAGTACTTTAGCAGGTACTCGTAGTCCCACAGAGACTGCTGAAATGTATCTCTACTTGGAGATGCAGAATGCAAAAAGCAGCGCACAATGCAAAATTTATTAGAGCAGAGACGGGCTGATACTAGCAGGTGTAGTCCTTCTCGCCTTTCAGGAAGCAATGACGTTGCTGTCACCGTTCGCCGTGACGAGACTTTTCATCCGAGTCCTTCGCATTCTCTCAAGGCATCCAACTGGGAGTAGCCAAGGGAGCAAACCTACCGGTAGCTAGCTAGAACATTCGATCCCAATAGTCAGCATTGGTTTGGTGGCCAAAAATCGTTAGCGCACCCCTTGAGCCTCACTCCCCCGGCTATTGGAAGTGCCGCAACGGGCGATCCAACGTCAACCAGATACACAAAACCGTGCGAATTTTGTAGAAAAACGGTCCGCTGATTTGAAGATCGACGGCCGCGCGCTATGGACGCGCAATTCCGAGGCGAAGCCGAGTAGCGCGTACAGTAGCGCGCAGGCCGGAGATCTTAAGACCAGGAGGAGGCAAGATCGAGGCAGGCGAAGGCACGAAAGGAAGGCCGAAGGCTGGAGCCGGGACAAGACGGATCGCAGCGCCCGAGGCTGTCAATGAAGAGGGCGTCATTTGTGCGTAATCGTCCAGTGGTAATCCGAGAGAAATAAGCTGTTAGATTACTGTAACTGCCAGTGAGGAAACTCAACAATAGCCCATCTTTGACCATTGACAGGCATAGCGCTAGCAGAAGCCATCTCCAGTAGGAGTCACAGGAAGATTTTCCGAATCCCCGTGTAGGATTCAGTACTGAAGCTACGGCGTGAAGATGTCCGACGAGTTTGTTTCCTCCTGACCAGCATTCTCTCCCAGTAGCAGCGACGGGAAGGGAAGACATGGCTACATTGACTCGGACGGCGCGCACACTTATTGGCTTCGCTCAGTTGCCACACCCCACCTTTGACCAAGGAACGGCGGCGACACTGCTGATGCGTCCTCCCAACAGATCCAGTCTTCCAATCCACCCTTGAATGTACCATCGACTTCGGTGGAAATGGCAATGAAGGAACTCCTCAAATCAACAACCGACTGCCAGGTCTCCTTGGAAATGATGGAAATCAGGACAGCCCAACAGCAGGGAAGATGAGCCAACAAGAACTCCACAAAGACTGCCAACTCCACACTCAACTCTGCGCTGCATTGTTGGTGCTTGGAAGCTGGAATCAAATTGAATCCTGGCTCATGAAGTGCATCAAGCTGTTGGATGAAGCTAAAGACAAAGTGAAAGTCTCCAAGGAACATGCTGCAAAAATTACCCGGTGTGTGAATCGGTTATTCAAAACCATAAGGAAAATGGAGGTGACATCTTGGTGAATCTTCTGAAGCAAGAACCGGCCAATTATGCGAATGGAAAGAAGATTGATTACGCCTTCTTCAACATCTTGGAGTGGAGAAAAGAACATCGATAAGCACACAATTCTCAATCTTGTCTCGTGTTGTGCGGAATGAAATGGCTATGCTTGATGGACAACAAGGGCAAACCACTCGCACCAACTGTCTTCGATCAATACATCAAAGTCTTGTTCTTCTTCTTCAAAGCTCGCGGCATCCAATACAAGTACAAAGAAGATTTCAATGAGAAGGGACAGTTCCACGGCTTCATGATCACCAAGTGGTACCTGATTCGGAAGAGTGATCCCAAGTTCGGAGTCAAGAATTACAAATCAGCGATTGACTGGGATGCGGATGCGAAGATTCGGGAGGCGATTCGTGACGGAAGACTCCAACCCTGGACGAATCCGCAGCTTCTCCTGTACGTTTTGCTCTATGTGCTTGGTCGCTTTTTCCTTTTCCGTGGAGGCAAGGAGATGGCGAATCTTTTGCACGAAGAGACATATGGAGGTGTCTACGATCGAAGACTTGGAGAGCTCGCCGGCAATGAGTACGAAGCATTCGTTCTCCCGGAAGATAAGACCAACCGACTCAATCTCGTGAATCCATCGGCGTTGAACAAAGAAGATCGCTGCATTGAGTGTATGGAGAATCCGCATGATGTACTCTGTCCGGTCAAGGTCATCCGTTTCTTCAAGGGAAAGTGTCATCCAGACGCGGTCAAATTTTTCGCCAAGATTGCCACCGCCAAACAACAAAAGGAGTACACCACCAAGGCGAAACGTGATGTTTGGTTTTGTCCCGCGAAGCACGGAGACACCACGAAGAATCTTGGCTACCACAAGCTGAATGGGTTCACCAAGGAACTAGCGAAGATGTGCGGCTTGACCAATTGGGAAGACATTTCCAATCATGGTTGGCGAGCGTACGGAATCACAAAACTCCATGCAGCTCGCGTCGATCTCAAGACTCGATTGAAGATGGCCCGACACAAGTGCGAGAAGAGTCAACTTCCTTATGCTCGCTTGACAAGTGACGGTCTGTTCAAAGCTCACCAGGCCTTGCGTGGGACAGATGATGCGATCGCCGCTCAAGACGATGATGACGAGGATGCCAAGAAACCCGCTGCCCAAAAGCGTGGAACCAAGACTGCCGCCAAAGGAAAGAAGAAGAAGAAGGCCAAAACGGCAACCACAGAAATTCCAGAGATTGTTTCCACTCAAGAAGAAGAGGAAGATGCGAATTCCCAATTGACCGAAGGCAGCAAGGACCACAGCAAGATGTCGCGAGATGAACTTTTGGTGGAGCTGGCTCGACGAGATGCCACTGGATCGGTTGTCGCTGGTTCGGTTGCCGGATCGATTGCCGCCTTTCCCAATGTTGGTGGTGGGATGGCGAGTCTTGCTGGATCGGCGAGTGTTTCTGGATTGGTGGTTGGTGGTGGAACAGCGAGTGTTGCTGGGAGTCAGGCGAGTTTTGCTAGTGGACAGATGATGGCAGTCCCACAGATGCAGCCACAGATGGCCATGACGGTCCCACAACAACAGATGGCAATGGCGGTCCCACAACAGCAGATGGCGATGGCGGTCCCACAACAGATGCCGATGATGCAACCACAAATGTCGATGATGCAACCACAGATGCCAATGATGATGCAATACCTCATGATGGGATTCAATCCGGCCATGATGGGTATGGGATTTAGTCAGACATTTCTTCAGCAACAATATGCGAATCAAGTGGGCCCACAGATCATTGTCCCACAGATGCAGATGCAACAACAGCAGATGCAACAACAACAAATCTTGCCACAACAACAACCTGCTCCACAACAGCAGGAGATTTGGGTCCGGGATGCAAATGGGATTTTGGTACCGGCCGGCAATCATAACGGCGTAGCGCCCCAGGGAAATCTTCAGGGCTGAAACGATGGAAACGAGGAAACGTCATGGTCGATATCTTTTTCATTTGCCTTGACATGGGGCTTTTGTAGAGGACATGGCTTTTGTAGAGGGCATAGATTACCCTTTTCGATGTTTGGCTGGCTGTTTTATGAAGAATGAAGGAAACTCCTTTTCTCCTCGAACTGAAAAAACCTGACATGCTCGGAGTGGTTCCGACTGTTGGTCTTCTCTTTAGCTTACGTTGAATAAAAACCCAAAATGATAGCAACAACTACAAATTGTCATCTTCTCGATGCCACTGAATAGTCATAGAATTATGTCAGAAAGTGGAAAAAACAGTTTATCGCTGAAAGATACGGTTTATTTAATTGAATCGTACGATTGACACACATTTTTCGAAATTTTAAACACATGGTCGCTGATGTACGTTGGAAACGCGAAGAAATTCCAATCCCATCTTCAAGATGGCTTTTTCCAGTCAATGTTCTTTTCTTATAGAGAATTCCAAAGATGTGCGATTTTTTTCCCTACTATTTCACTGTGTACACGTCATCGTATGACATCCATCTTGGAAAAAAACACATGGAAAAGAAACGGTCTTGAGAAACGGTTGATTCGTGCAAAATTTACTATGAAATAAGCAGTAAGATGCGAATTGAGTCTTACTTTCCGTTAACTCCGGGTGTCACATGAAAAACGATTGAAAAAGAAGATTCGAAATACGATTGACCCTACTTCAACGCTTACATCTCATCCGGCAAATTAACGCTTGTGTAGAAAATGTACCAGCTCTACGAGGATATCACCGGACAGATTACCAGCTGTAACAGTGATCTTATTAATGAGGTAGGTGCGTACGCGTACCTTATGGTACCAATGACGAGCGATAATACAGCGTAGATCGTGAACTGGTACAAAGGCTTAAGGAATTCACTCTTTGGTCTTAGATAATCGGGATGGTGGCATGATTCAGTGTCTAATGAGGAATAAGTCCCGTCCGCAGCCCGCTCGATTTGCGTAAGCCCTCTCCCTATTCTATTCCTAATTTCCCAATTAATCTTTCTCATTAGGGTTTTTGAACGGCACCGAAAAACAGCCGCCATGGCGTCAAGTCCATTTGATTTGCGTTCGGCTCCTCCTGTCTTCTTTCTTTGCTCGTCACATCTAAGCAGCTAGCTACTAGAACTGTAGTAGTAGAAGAAGGATGAGCCCTGACCAAGAAACAGCCATGGTAGCGACGGCTCCGACGAACGATGCAGCGTCCGCGAGAAAGAGACGCAAAGCCATCATTCAATCGCAAAGATCCGAAGCTGTTGTAGTAGAGCACCAACAGCAACAACAAGCGCAGCCACCACCCCAACCTCCAGTCGACACGACAGAAGATGCTCCATCTGGCGTCGACGACGACGAACCTCCGTCCAAAAAGAGCAAGACGACACAGCAGATTCTAGAAGATGAAGAGTCCGCTCGGTCCAAACAAGCGCGCAAGTACGTGCCGGATGTGCCCATGGGAAAGGAACAATTGGCGGCGTGGAGACGAGAAGCTCGTCGCGTCCGAAACAGAGAGTCTGCCGCAGCCTCTCGTCAACGGATTCGAGAACGGATCACCGTATTGGAAGAAGAATGTGAAGAATGGAAACGAAAGTATCAAACCGCCATGGAACGACTACGGACACTCGAGCAACAAAAACAGCAGAATGGCACAGACCCTGATCCACAACAACAAAACAAGACTAGATCTAGCTAGCTACGAAAATGTTGAACAATCACGATTTTCAAGACAGACAGTTTTGTCAAGACAGAACTCAATGTGGGGTTGGCTGGACACCACAATCATGCACAACGCCAAAACAAACAAACAAACAAACAAACAAATCCAGCGATTCGATTCCATGTTTGCTTTGCTTCAAAGCAAAATATGAGAAAGTTGGTGTACTACTTCTTCTTGTAGAATACAATTTACTACAGTAACCTTTTGTTGACTTATGCTAAATACTGTGCAGTGTAGGATGGGTTGATTTGGCTTGGTTGTTGCTTGTGGATCTACCGATAGCTAGACCTATCTACAGGATCCGGTTGGTGCCAAAGGATGCATGACCACAGTACCAAGAGGAATTCCGGTACTCAAGTTTTTGAGGATGGCTGGCTAGAAGGCAGAAGAGCATCAGGAGGATAAAGCTAAGTACAATATGAGGAAACGGGGATCCGAGTGGTCCACCCACCCAAGTGCAAGCGACAAAAAACACAACAATTTGCGTTACAGCGGGGACAAAGAGTCGAGTGACGAGTCGAGTCAACTCGAGTCAAAACCGGAAGGAGCAAATGCTCGTCTGATGTGTGATGTGTTCCGTAGCAAACTTTCAGCTGTACATGTACATTGTACATCACTGCTATCAGTGTGAGTGATGGAGTGTCATCAATATTTATTTACTTACTATGGCTAAAAAAAAATATATATATATATATCAAATACATGAAGTTCTAGGTATCAAGCCAACACTACCGGTAGTTGATGTTGCACAAAAGCAAGCAATATTACCTTCCAATCAGGAAGGGATTCGATTCATTCAACCGTCCTCAGTCGCACCGAATGTTCTGCGCGCCCTTGGCTGCTAAGATTACTCACTAGCTAGTTCCCAAAAGATCGAGGTCTGCCGAGGTTCCAGAGCACACGGTAAAGTCTATCTGGGATAGCGATCAAGACAATATCTTAATCGTTGGCTTTCTTCCTGGAGCTTGCTTCGTCCTCGACATGATCGCGTGGCTCAGCCAAGGGGGTTGCCCTTTCCACGGTCTCTCGTCGCACAATTGTGAGTTGTAATTGACCATGACCAATGGCAAATGTTTGCTACTGGCTCTGACACTGATAACGAGCTGCGTGCATGGCTGTTTCAGGTCGAGATCGCTCAAACACCAGCTAGCTAGATACAGGTACGATGTAGAGTTGAGTCTCCACCTCCTCCATTCATGGACTCAACAGGACCGTCACATCCAACCAAGAACCGGCTACAACCCTGGCTGCCAGAGTAATGCTGCTGAAGGTGGGCACCTGGATATCCTCATGTGGCTTCGTGAAAGTGAAAGAGAATGCGCTTGGGGTAATACCTGTGCCAAGGCCGCACAAGCTGGTCACGCGGAAGTGCTCAAGTGGGCGCGGGAAAATGGATGCCCATGGGATGAAGAAATATGTTGGTGTGCTGCTATCCGTGAAGGACATTTGAATGTGCTCAAATGGGCTCGAGAAAACGGGTATCAGTGGAATGAAGATACATGTTCTCTCGCTGCTGAATACGGTCGATTGGAGGTTCTAAAGTGGGCTCGTGCAAACGACTGTCCCTGGAACGCAGAAACTTGTTCCAGTGCTGCTTGGGCACCGGTAGGACATCTGGATGTATTGAAATGGGCTCATCAGAATGGCTGTCCTTGGGATGAGCACACATGTTCGTGTTCTCTTGCGCATGAGAATTGGCACATTCTAAGATGGGCTCTAGCCCATGGATGTCCTTGCTACCAACAAACATACAATTACGTTGCACGTGTAGGGCGAATGGATATCTTGCAGTACCAGTCCCTTGATCTCGCTGATTAGTTTCAATTAGAAAAATTTGGCATGTTTTGTGAAATAACTTGTCTTTTCTGTTGGCTAAACTGGTCCCACTCCAGCCTTATTGCTCGTCATATGTACCGTTAGCTAGCTGAGGTGTGTTTCTATTAGCATTGCCTGGCCTTGCTGGAGGAGAATCTCTTGCACATCAATTCGTTGATTAATGCAAAAGACACAAAGGATCCCTTGTTGGTAGGCTTCCGCTTGCTTGAGGGGCTATCTCAGCCAGTGCTCGCTCTTGGACGGTCGGTTGGTTCGTTGGTTCGTCCTCGTGCAAGGTAACAGTCAGTTCTTCTGTTTGCAGGTCGCTCGACGTGGGGTTGGAGCAAGGACAAAGTTGCAGGGCACTGTTGGGGATCCTTGGTTCTTCCATGGCCGGGTTTTGATCGCCTCGTGATCTTTTGGTTGGTTCGTCCTCGGCTTGATCTTTTGGTCGTGTCCGAAGTCTAGTAGAGTTGCTCTCTTCTGTTGGTTCTTCTGTCCAAAACCCCTTTTCGCTTGGTCCGCTCGATGGTTGGTTGGTCGGTCAAGATGTTCGGTACAAAGCCATTCTCGAATGTGGGGCGACGTTGCTATGAGAGACCCCGATGAACATAGTTGACTGTAGTAGCAAGGCCACGCTTGAAGTCGGATGGTTCCTTCTTGCGATGGCTGCTCCTTTTCCTGTTGGTTGGTCGGTCAAGAAGTCGAGCAATCTTACAAGCGACCACAGTGGAACGTTGTGGCGGTGGTTCCTTTTTGCAGTGCTTCTTCCTTTTGGTTGGCTGGCTCGATAGTGCTACCGATGCACGTTGGTCGCTCGCTGTTCCTCTTGCCGTGGCTATTCCTTTCCTGTTGGTTGGTTCTCCTTGGCGCTCACACCAACCTTGTCCCTGTTGTTGGTTGTTTAGGCAAGCTGGTTGCCTGACGCACCGTGACATTTTGTTGGTTGGTTGCCTTGCACTCCGTGACCCTGGTTGGTTGGTCGGTGGTCTCGGAGTCTTTGTCATCTCTTGCATTGATTGGCTAGAAAGCACTTTACCTATGTTTGGAGTTGGAGTCCAGCGGCAGAGGACCACACCAGGCGTTCTTTGATCTTCCTCACTTTGTGTTGTTCTTGTCAAGTCTCGCCTCTTCTGAGTGATCACATTTGTCAGTGCGTGGTGTTGAAGCATCCGTGCGGGAACGGTGATCTCTTCGACGCACCTTCTTCATTCTCAGTGCGTTGTCAGCCTTTTCAAGCAATTGCCTGCTCTTGAGTGCTACCCTGCTGTTCCTGGCTCACTTCGTGTTGGTGGCGCTGACGACTGGGCACCTGTGACGTCCACTCGGTGAACGCTTCCACCTTTGCGACTCTCCTTTGAATGGAACCAGATTTGCATCCTGCTGATTTTTATTCAATTTGAGAGACTGATGGCTCGTGGTTTGGATGCTTGGACTCTGCCAGTGTCACGTCATATCGGTACGGTACCGGTAGGTCCGGCAGCATACTAGTGCCGGTATTCAGGAAGAAACGTACCAGGTACCGGCAAAGCACAACCTTCAGAACCAACGTAGGACTTTTCCCCTTCTCAAGCTGATCTTTTGACGCCAGAAGTGATTGTTGGGTAGTCTTCTTGCCAAGGAAACTACTTCGTACAATCGTAGCCTCTACTCCCTCCAAGGAACTCGCTGGCTGCTCCTCCTCCACCCTTTTTGCGCTCCCAAACCAAAATTGTGAGGGCGAATGGTCCCAAGTTTGAAAGGGCGCGCTTTCTTTGTATTTAAAGAACAAATCCCTTGAGCTTAGAATTGGTCATTGAGTATGGAAGCATTAGAAACACATCTGGAAAGCTTCTCTACTCAGTAACTTGTGCCCCCAGTACCGGTTACTGTAACCGGTACATGTAGCCACTTTGCGCTGTACAGTACTAGAGTACTGAGATTCTGAGATTTACAAAATTCTCCCACCACCAGCCACCAGCATCGAACCCGATGATGCCTCGGCTTGACTGTCACTCCATGAATCTTTTAATAAGTCAGCGGGAGCTGCGATACCTCGGCAGAAAGACAGATAGAAGAAGGATGACATGTTTGAGATTGCACCCTTCTTTCAAGGCAGCCCTGGCGACAACACCCGACTTCGTCGTGTGTTGCCGCCCTGTATCATTCCCTCATTATAGCCTTCCTTTTTATTTAAGGTAGCCCTGGCGACAACACCCGACTTCGTCGTGTGTTGCCGCCCGCTAACCATAATTTTACAGCTGTCACTCCGGTATGTACCTGTAACTTTTGTAGCTTCTGCTGGCTTATTGTGTTGAGTGCACTAACCTTGAATATCCATGATTTATTCCTACCCCTAAATTTGTAGAGTTGGCTTGTGCCTATCTCTATCCCTATATTTTGGCTTCACCGGAACAGGAAACAGGAAGCAGGAAACAGGAAGCAGGAAGCAGGAAACAGGAAGCAGGAAACAGGAAGCAGGAAGCAGGAAGCAGGAAACAGGAAACAGGAAATACCAAAAAAGGGGGTGAGGGCTCAGGCAGATAGACTGCCGAGGTAAATCCACAATCTTCGCATTCAGGGATTGAGGGTCCTCCTCGCTCTTGGTACCGGTACAGGGACGACTTCTCGAAATGAAAGCGTCTCGGGTTGCTTCAACTAGCTGGCTACTAGCTACTCGAGTGCTAGCTAGCTATCATAGCTAGCTAGTAGAGTGAAGATTGAATCATTCGATTCGATACCTATTCGATTGTCACACAACAGCTTCCGGCCCATTGCCGGCGTTTGCAGCCTACCAGTTGGTACGGGTACATGTACACAGGAATATCGCCGCGATAGATACCGCGGCGTCTGAAACAATTTTTGGTCTTGGACAAATAGATTGGTGGTACGGTAGCGCAAGGTGGCACTGAAGAAGACAGACAATTGCCGACGCAAGTCTTGGACCAATTGGCGATGGCTCCACTAAGACCTCATGTATAAGATATCTTACAAAGGTCCAGAAGCATTTACATACAGTGTAAGATAAATCACGCAGTGTTCATGCATTGTCGGTTGGTGCAGAAGTCCTCACTTTCTAAAAAGCTACCGTATGTCTACCGTAGTAGTCTCTAAAGACTGACTATTAATAGCTATGATAGTAGACTACTCCTGGCACTCAGATTTCACGTGTGGAAGATATACTGAAGAGCATGCCATTGACATGAAATATATAGTTGGGTCAAAAATGCATTGGAACATGCTCTGACTGAAACACAAAATGTTCTCTAGCTAGACTACCTCCACAATGCAACAAGCTTTGGATTCCCGCAAAGCTAAAGCTTGGAATGAGACACTATTGGAAAACTTCATTTTCATCAAGTGGCCATTGAAAAGATGCTACTGTAGAGGGAGGAATCCATTGAATTCAGATTCGATTCAATGTGAATGAAACCAAGATCCTACCGAGTGATAGAGCATCCAAGTTCAAGGGTAATATCTTACAGTAAGGGACTGAGCTTTTCAATAGCTTGTAGAGTCATTGCTTGTGAGTACCGGTTGGATTTTCGGTCATGATGACTTCATCACAACATTAAGCAAAGCCATGTCGCCGAGCGAAAATAGTGACGAAGTGACCTTTAGCAACACTACAGTACCAGAGTACCAACACTGTCCACAGCGTGTGCTGGTCACTCAAAGGCTTCGCTCGTTGCCTCCCTACAAAAAATAATGGACTCGACTTGACTCGACTCGACTCATTTTGCAGCTAACTACCAAGATAGCAAGCTCCCCTTCCTGATCTGACCGACGGAACCATGAAGAGCGAAAGCAAGCCGCAATCAGACAAAAAAGAAGCCAGTATGGGTACCGCTACAGATACCACAGTGGGTATTTGTGTTGCTGTTGGTGCGTCCTCTGTTGTGTCGAGTCCGGCAGCCCAGCATGGACTTCGAACCTTATCACAAGATGACAAAGTTTCGAGGAAACTACGTGCAGCTGGGGTTGCCAAGCCCACCGCTACTGCGAGTACTCGCACTACCGGTAGTGCTACTGGTACAACGGCGACAGAAAGACACCAAAAGGCCATCAACCGCCAGACTGAAAGGCCTGACACAGCCACGTCCAAAGTGACCGTTACCAACGACAATGATAATGGTTCTGCACCCATGGTACAAAGCTCCAGCCATCAAACGTTCATGGATGATCTAGTGGGAGGACTGGAGCCCATCCCCATGCAACCTTCCAGTGTCCATTCTGTTGCCTCGAGTCCAGCAGCCCAGCATGGACTTCAAACAATATCACAGGAAGAAGAGATCGCTGGAAAACTCCGTGCAGCAGGGGTTGCCAAGCCCGTGGCTACAACTACAACCACAACTAGTACTCCGAGTACAACTATAAGTACTAGTACTAGTACTGCAAGTGCAACGATAACAGAAAGACACGGGAAGGTCTTGGCCCGTCAGGCTGAAAGGCCTGCCACATCCACAGCCAATGTTACAGCCAATGTGACACCCAATGTGACCAACAATGAAAATGATAATGATTCTGCGCCCTTGGTACATAACTCGAATCATCAAACATTCATGGACGATCTGGTGGGAGGACTGGAGCCCATCCCCATGCAACCTTCCAGTGTCCATTCCCGTGCCAGCCAGCAACCCAGCCGTCCTGGAGCCTACGTGGGGCAGACCTTTCAGCGCGTTGAAAGTCTCAATTTTGAGCTCGTGGGAGCCTATAGTGATCACAATTCCAATTACTTCAAGGAAGCATCCGATGTCTTTAGTGTCACGGCCCCCACCAGGCCTTCCTTTGCTCATGGCGGCTCGTCGGCAGGACTTGTCGAAGCCAGGGCCGTCTTTGACGAATCCAAAGAGCTCATCTTTCAGGAAGCACAACAAGTCGATGTGGCCGTACTTGAAGAGCAGCAATTAAGAAGATCCAGACAACAGCAAAAGAAATTAAAGTTAGAGAGAACAAAAGAGGAAAACCCGAACGGGCACTATCGAAAGGTGGGATTGGCAGTCCTTCTTTGTTCCATTGTTATT